CCAACCGACAGATAGCTTCACGGTAAGATTCTTCATGAAGTGCATTGTAGCCCTTTTCTGTTTATCAGAATATCAACAAGATGTACTAATAGCTCCAACCATTGTATTGGTGGCTGGGTATGAAGAGAGAAATGTCTAAATTTTTTGCTAAATGCTTAGTGTGCCAACAAGTCATGGCGAAACATCAAGTCCTCTCAGGATTACTGCAACCGATTGAGATACAACGATGAAATGGGAGAGAGTGATTATGGATTTCATATCCAGTTTACCGATGACTAGGTTCATGCATGATGCAATATGGGTGATAGTGGATCGATTCATCAAATCCACTTATTTTCTTTCGATTCGCATGGACTTCATATTAGAGAGATTGGATCAGCTATACATCCACGAGATTGTGATGTTGCATGGAGTTGATATCCGACAGAGATCCGCGATTCACTTCTCGATTCTAAAAAGCACTACATGGAGCTTTGGGTACTAAACTACATTTTAGTACCACCTTTCATCCTCAGATAGATGGACAATCCGAGCGTATTATTCAGATATTGGAAGACATGTTTAGGTGTACCATTTTGGACCTCGAAGGCAGTTGGGAATACCACTTGTCTTTAGTTGAATTCCCATACAACAACAGTTTTCAGGCAAGCATTCAGATGACTCCATATGAAGTCATGTATGGGCGCAAATGTAAAACCCTATTGTGTTGGATAGAGCTCAACGAAGTACGATAGTAGGTCTCGACTTGATCTGTGAAACTGAAAAGAAAGTTTAGTTGATTAAGATTCGACTGAAAGAGGCTTTTAATAGACAGATATCACATGTCAATCTGAAGCACAAAGATATAGAGTTTGTAGTGGGAGACAAAGTATTTTTCAAGGTCTCACAATGGAAAAAAATACTTCAGTTTGGACACAAGGGTAAGTTAACCCCCGTAATTCATTGGACCATATAAGATTTTAGAGAGAGTTGGGCCAGGAATTTATCGTTTAGCATTGCCTCTGAAACTTTTGTGCATCCACAATGTGTTCCACGTTTCCATTCTTTGAAGATACCAATATGATCCGTCCCGTATTATTCCCCTTGAGAAAGTGGAAGTGAGACAAACCTGACTTATGAGGAAGAATCGATCAGAATCCTTGTCAGATATGTCAAGGAGCTGAGAAACAAGAGGATATCATTAGTGAAGGTTTTATGGAGAAACCATGGCTTAGAGGAGGTGACATGGAAACTCGAAGAGGTTATGCAACTTCAATATCCACATTGCTTCTATTCAGGTAAATTTCGATGAAGGAATTTCTTCTTAGGATGGGAGAGTTGTAATTCCCCGAAATACAGGTTAGGAGTTTATTCTACTTGGACCTTAAAATAAGTTCCTTTAACCCATTAAGAGTTTGACCCAAGTGGTATATGATTTAGGCTTGAGATGAGCCCAACAAGTATTAAAAATGGTGTTTTTATTATGGACTAAAATATGGAGGGACTAGGGGAGTAAACATCTCATTTTTCAAAACTAAAGTTGAATTCCCAATTAATGGGATGATATCACGTCTGTTTTGTTCATATATCTTTTTCTTCACCAAGCTTGTATTATTCTTCTCTTCTTTTTTATTCTCTTCCCTTTCAAGTCAAACCAAAGGTTCAAGCTTTATGAATCGTAAGCCTCCTTTGATAATTCTAAGGTAAGAATCATGAACTACAACTCCTAAGCTTCATTCAAACCCACTTTTGCAAGATTTGGTTTAGTCTCCATAGAAATAAGTTTAAGTGGGGTTTACGAAAATTTGGGTTTTAAGATCGTTTTTAACATCCTATTAAGTTTTAAGCTATTTTTGGGAGAGTTTTGAGTTGTAAGATCATTTTTAACATCATTCTAAGTTCCAAAATGAGTTAATAACTCATATTCTTGTCTTAACTAGTACAAGAGAAGGGGTGAGAGCTCTAAGGCAAGGGGTAAGGAGAAACTCACAATTGAGCGATTCAAGAACATTTTTAGTAGCTTGGAAGTAAGGCAACACGATTCTAACTTGACCGTACCACATGTAGATTATTGTATGTACATTTATGGTTTATTTATCTTATGAAGCATGTTAGAGTAAATTTCATGGCAAGATCCGTATTTGTTGTTTGTAAGCATGAAAGATGATAATTGTTTACCTCTAAGACCTCAAATAAGACTTAATAAGCTTTTCTAGTCTTAGGAGAGTGTATAGGTGAGATTTAGATGCATTTTTAAGCCCAAAACAGAGCACTGTAGGCCGCCGATATCTATACTGTAATAACATATTGATATTGTTATTTATGCAAGACAAAAACAAGGCAATTTGTAAGGGTAATATCGATACTCCGTCAAGGATTATTGATACTCAAGGTCCAGTATCGATACTCAGAGGGTAGTATCGATACCGATGACTAGTTTTGGATTTCAGAATACAAATTTGATATCGATACTCATGGAAGTATCGATACCAAAGGTAGAGTATCAATACTCTCTATAGGAGTATCTATACTGAGGCATTTTTGAAAATGTAAAAGCTATTTTTGGTATCGATACTCAGGGTAAGTATCGATACTATTGGCACAATATCGATACCATCGGTGATTTTTGGGAAAATTTTGGTTCAATAGGTTTAGGGTGTTCGAGCTTGGGTGTTTTGGATTCGTATAAGCTTCAAGTATTCGATACAAGTGAAAAATAATCAAGATTACTAATTTCTCACCTAGAAATCAAGTAAGTTAGGATGACATAATATTTGCCTTTGTATGATGCTCAGGAAACGGTCAGGACACCCGATTTACTCTAGTATTTTGATGGTCATCCTCTATTGTGAATATCCGAATATTTTCTGTTTGGTACGCATCCAATGCACGTAAAATTTTGGGTCATACTGGTACGAAATATGATGTATGTAAAATTTATAATCGTACCCATATGCTCAAACGGGTTTAGAATGTGAGCTTTCGATGCACGTATATTCTGGTCCTCGCCCTGACCTCTCAGGTATCCGAGTTAGACTAAGAGTTATAAGTTCTGATGCATGTAAATTTCGGTTCTTGCCCCAAAGCTATCATGCTCTAGATAGGCTAGTATGTTGTCCAAGATGCACGTAAATTCCTTCAACCACATCACTTGGCCTATCTCATGTTTGTCTGAATACTTTGCATGTTTATGACCTTACATAACGACATGTTCATGCAATGGATGCATGTAGTATTGTATAGTTATTTTTGTGGCACTGAGCGTGTTTCTGTGCGCAGGTTAGTAGGGATCGTTGAGGAGCATATCACATCAATACATTCCAGACCATACGATTTATAGAATATGTCTTGAGTATTTTTAAAGGGCATGTATTTTATATGGGCCTTGAATTATTCAAGTCATAACTCTATTTCTGTTTTGATTTAAACATTATGGTCGTAAATGTACGTATCTGGGAGGCTCCCATATTTTGTAAACTTTGATTTCAATTCCACTGTTATTATGATGAATGATTTTGATGTTTATAAATGTATTGGTAAGAAATTTTTGGGTTGACCACTTCGGTGGTCCTGTGTGACATCGTAATCCATGGATCTTCAGGTCGGGCTGGATTAGGGTGTTATAATATTGAGAACTCTTCAAAAAATTCACAAGAGTATTTTTTTTGTTCTTAACAAGACACAATAAAAATCATAAACTCAAACCTAATGGCTATAAAGGGTTAGATTTTTCAAAAATCTCATGGAACTCTTCAACTCTGATAGTGGCTTCTGTCTATTGTCCAACGGCTATCAACAACTAGTTGATTTTAAATTTCAAAGGAACTCGTCACGTCAAATAAAAGACTAGATTTTCAAAAATCTCGTGGAACTCGTCACCTCGATATGATGAGTTTCAATCTGACTAGTGCTTCTATACATTATCCAACTGCTATCAACAACTAGTTAATTTTAAATTTCAAAGAAACTTGTCACGTTGACGTGACGAGTTCTAAAATTTATTTATTATAATTTAAAAATTAATTATTGAATTTGAAAAGAAAAAAAAATTCAGCGGACTCGTCACGTCAACGTTACGAGTTCGTAGAAATACATTATAATATTAGACCCCACAGGACCCACTTACCTTGGACCATTTAAAATTATTATTTGGACAAACTCGTCACCTCGACATGACGATTTTTTCCTGCACTATAACATTTGTCGTAGATTCTAAAATAAAAATATGGTTGATCTAATGGGCCAATTAAATATACCGTCTACCATAATGAGCCAATTTTGCCTCAATTTCTATGTATGTTGCTTATGAATGAAAATGGATTCGATTCAGATCTAGACATGACGAGTTTGAATACGATATAGTTTTATAGAGTTGAATCTTTTTAAAATTTAAGTTCAAGTCGATAAATTAAGTTTGAGAGAATGATAGTTTAGTTTGAATTAAAATCAGTTTTAAGATTGAAAAAACATATAACCTATAATACTTTACTATAAAAGATATTTTTTTGACTGTTAGTTATTCATTTTTTTTATTCTTTTTTCTCTCCCCTCCAACAAATTCACTCATATCTCCCCGCTCTCAAATTTTAGAAATCTTAAAATTATCATTGACAAGTGCATCAATGTCACCCATCATTGTACTTGATTGTTATTAAATTCTAAAGAAAAAAATTAACAACCTATTTCAAGCCTCTCAATTTCGAATATGATACTTATTATTTCAGAAAATACATTAATGTTCATAAATATAGCTCAAAATCTTTTATCTACATTGTTTTCGATCTCCTTCTGCTGTCGTCAGATAAGACCAACATAAAACTATATTGTTTCTATCACCAATATAAGTTAATTCAGTTTTAATTAAGTCATCAACAATTAACTGTTCATGAAATTATTAACATGACAATTAAATAAATTCATATAATAACACATCTGATCCTCATTAATTACATATTACAAATTTTATCAATTCGATTCTGATTTTAATTAGAAATAATTGAATAAGTTTGAGCGCAATACCATTGAACCAACTTAAATATTTGTTTCATACTTTTCAAAACTTATATTTAATTATTGCTACAAAACAAAACAGAATAACAGCAGCAAATTGATTTCAATTATTACAAAATCATCACCGCATTGGTAGCTCGTACCATCTAATAAGATCTGACAGAGATCAGAGGAAGAACTACATGCTTCTCAGCTGCACAATTTATTTATTAGTGTCCATCAAAATACTGACCTCTTTGGAGGCTATGTTCTGAACTTCTGGCTGAGTTTCTCGACTCCTTCACGACAATCCTCTGCCACTCGTTTTGCACCTTCTTTAACGGCCGAGCTAAATCCCGCTGTGCTCCGCTGCACCTCTTGTACTGATCCCCTTGCCTTCGACACAACCCTGTCTTTCAATTCTTCTGCCTTTGCACCTGCCTCGGAGCCCCACTTCTGCAACACCGAAATCAAATGCTGGATCCTCTGGACAATCTTATTGATGAATTCTCTAGATTTGCCTTTTACTTCACTAGCCAATATCCTGAGCTTTCCTAACAAAGCTTCGGCCCGGCTAATAGTTCCTTCAACTGCAACAGGCTTCTCCACATTTACCCAAATATCTCCTGCAACGCTCTCTTCAAGGAGGTCATTGTCTACGACCACTTTGATGTCGTGCCTCGTCCAGCGTTCTCTAGCTTCCTCCAGGGCTTTTGCCTGTTCTCTTGCTCTTTTTGCCTCATCCTCAGCCCAAGCCCTGAATTTATAAAGTTTTGTATCATATATTACACAACCAAATGAGAACAGCACAGCGATATATCTCTCAGAAAAATTAAACGGCAAATGGAAGACAAAATAAAGATGAACAAGAGGCAAAGACAGAATCTCCAAATGATAGTGTCAACCCCAAAAAAGAAAAGCCAAAGTTATTCATGATTTTTCTACCAACAAAATAGATAAGTAACACAGCGGAAACATTAATATGACCATCATAGAGAATCCAATTTTCTTTATCATCCCAATAGCTTTACCTTATAGAACGCTTTGACAGTTAGCTAAGGGTCAAACTTTTACAGTTTTAACATGGATTTTGAAGAAAATACTTTGGAAATTTATTAAAAAAATAGGAATCCTTAAACAGTGATAATCACATCTGGTGCATTTTCTCCAGTTCTACCTAGCAAAAAAGGTGGCAATTGATTAAGCAGATAGGCATGAATCTATTTGAAGTCTGGTAAATGCAAAGAAATGAGAATTGAGCAAAGTTTCACCCAATGCCACTAAGATATAAGAGAAAATATTCTATCATGCTATCCATGTTCTTGAAATTACTATCCCATAAAATAAAGCATTTAATATATATGTATATGTATAAGTGTATATATATGAATAGTAATTTGTCCGTTCCCATTTATTAAGTAGTTGAAGTATCAATTTTGAAAGTTGAAACTACATAATAATCAAGCTCATCTCCTCACCTGGCCATTGATAAGGCTTTTCTTTCCACCTCCAACTCATGCTGTAACCTGACAATCTCCTGGGTTTCATCCTCTGTTTCTTTTCGTAGTTTGCTAATCCTTTCCTTCTCATATGATATCTCTACTTTGTCACTCATGATGTTTTCCAACTGCTCCTCCACTTCACGCCTTAACCTTGAAAGAATTTCCATTTCAGCGCCGATAGCAGCACGGTCCTTCATTAAGGCAATATTCTCTTCCTCTCTCTCAGCTCTTAACCTTTCCAGTTCATGCTTTGCCTCTTCAGCCATTTTTTCCACAGCATCAATCTTTTCCCGTTCAATTAAAAGTTCTTTCTCAAAACTAGCATTCATATCTTTCTCAACTTCAGCTACTAAAGCATTGTGAGCAGATACTGCATTTTCCGCAATTGATTCAGCTTCGATACGAGCAAGCTCCTCACTTACTATGTCAGAAGCTTCACCAGTTGCAATAGCAATGGCAGCTTGGGCTTTTGTCACAGGCTTATTTGGCTGGAACATTCTTGTACAACCTATGGGGATATGACAATAACAAAGGTATATCAATCATCAAAATAAGATGAAACTTAGGGAAAATAATTATCACTGAGACGACTTACCAAAAGCAAGTGCTATTATTCCTTGTTCTTCAGTAGACAAGTCTGCCATGAGTGCAGGCCATGCCTCTGGATTTATCTTATCAATGTCTATGAAACCAGAAAGTTGGTAGAGGATCTACATAACCACAATGTTAAACTTAATACCAAACATATCCACTAATACATGTAAGAAGAGAAAATAAACAAATAAATAAAGTCAAACATAAGCAACCTTTCTGTCAGCTTCTGGAAGCTGTCTTCTCTCCAAGGCCATTTTCCAACATATAAGATCCTGGCGTGATAGAGGGCTAGAGTAAAAAAATGGAGAAAATAAGAGGCATATATACAAATAAAGGTATTAGTGGTTATATAAATAAAACTGCACTGCAATTTCATTCTTTATTTTCGGGTTCAGTCAGGGTAAGAACATATCCCATTAACATTTTGCAAATAAGTTGTTATGAACACGGGTTAAGACTACTCGGAGAAATTAATCAAGAATCATTCTTAGATGTTAAAAAAAATAAACCTGCAGATAGGCAATAAAATAATGGGAAATTGGTATTGGAAAAAATATTAACCAAGATAAATGAGATGACCAGTTTTGCAAAAGTTTAACCTGTGAACAGTAATACCTTTCTGGAGAAAAGTAAAATGGACCTAGATTGTTACTAAATAAATCTTGATTTGAAAGCTTGCTTGAGATAAGTCCAGCCTCTGCCAAGCCTGAAATATGTAACTCAATTAGCAACAATGAATTATAACCAAAAAGAAAGTTACTCTACCAATATGAACAAGAATATGAAATCCTATTCTCAACCTTGAATCGATGAAAAATCAGGATCTTCAGTCGTTATGTCATCAAATGCAAGTTCGGTAACATTCTCAATATACATTGCAGGATAAACTTTTGATACTACATTCCTGCAAACAGCAAAATAGATTAAATTTATGAGTATGAAGGTACCTATAACATGCTAATTTCCAAAAGGCCATACACTTCCATACATAGGAGAAACAAGGAAGGAACCTATACCTCGAAAGAGCACTGCTTGCCGACACTAACCACCGAGCATACTCACGACGTTTACAGAGATCACCAGGTAGAGCATCAGCCTCAATAACCTGGAAAAGATAGAGATATATGTCACAAGTTCTTGTATTATCCAATACTCCAATAATTCTGCATTTCAGTAAGAACGAAATACCTTCAAAACTTGAAGGGCTGCAAGTGCCTGCCCCTGAACCTGATCAACAACTGCAGGAACTAGAACCTTCCCTGGATGAACCTGTAGATCTGAGGAAACTACAGACGGAGCAGGTATACCAGCTGGGGAGAAGGAACTCCTTGGAGTTGGTGATTCAGAAACTGGTCTGCTATCTTTTATTTCATTATAATTAACGTTCCCTTGCTCAATTGTTAACGAATGAGCTGGTGCTGACACGGGAGTTGTTTCAGATGACTCAGTCTCATTTAACTTATTCACTTCCAGAGATGAATTCTTTAATTCAACTAAGAGCGGAGACAATTTTTGTCTCCCAAGGTTTTCTTTAGTTAGAGATGATTCTATGGTTTCCATATTGTCTTCGGGTACAATCCGATGTTCTACAATTGGTTCCGACTCTGAATTAACTGAGAAACTCACAATCGAAGGATCAGTGACTGAACTGGAAGTAGAAGAAAAATCCGAGATATTGGAATTATCTTTTCCTTCTGATCCAAGTAATCCCTCATCAAGACCATTGTCTAGGTTTATTGGGTCAGACAAGTTAGTATCAATACATGTCCGGACATTAATCAATTTATCTTCAATCTTGGAAGTTGCTTCAGGTGAATCGATATCAAGGTTGCTATCTGATTCTTCAAGGCCTGGTGCAACAAAAGAGCCACCCACAACTTCAGTTTCTGGCAAATTAGGTGATATTGGAGTTGCGTCTGGGAAAACTGACTCCCCATTCAAAGATGAACCATTTTGCATGTATCCTGGATCTGGAGCAGTATTACTGGCACTATTACCATTGGATGTGGAACTGTCTACTAAGTATGTCCCATTGTCATTATCAGTATTATTATCAGCAGAAGTGTCATTGAATTCTGAAGGCGCAGAAAGATCCTTATGTATTTCTGTTTCAATTTCATTTTCTTCAGCTTTTTCACCTTCAGTATCAATTGAAACTTCCTGTTGAGCTGTTAAGGGTTCTGACTGCTGCTTTGGTCCTGTAGTCAACAAATGGTACAAGCATTCAAAACAAGTTCCCAGGGATAGTTGTCAGTTCATCTAAATTAAGTCCAATAAAAGAAGGAAAAGCGAAAAAGTAACAACATATAAACAAAATAGAAAACCATAGTAAAATAGAACCAAGTGCAATTGAAAGAGACTTACTCGAAGCAGTCCGATTACTTAGGGACATTGCAGCAAAAGAAAGCCCTGCTACCAGAACAAGTCCAGCTGATCCAGCTCCCACAATTCCTAAAAGCAAACTACTTACGAATTGTTATTAGTCCATAACATTGAAACCGCCAATTTTAATTTAAACCCACTTAAGCATAAGATTCGAATCCTCACTCCCGCTCCACTGTATGCTTAAAGCCCCAAACAATCATGAGAGCTATTTTCAAGATTATGCATCAAATTTTATCCCTAAATATAATCTGATTACTCTCTGCTTCATTGACACGGAATACCTTTGATTGAAAGTCAAGAATCATTTAGTCTAAGAAAACATAATCAAAAACTTAATCAGCTAACTATGTTCAGATAAATCTATCAAAGCGTTTTGTTTTTACCAGCTGGTCACAAGTAAACAAAGAAAGCCAGTAAACAAATAGCCAAAATTCAGCTAAGACAAGTGGTAACAACATTAGTCTGTACAAAAGTATAATAAATAAATACCTCCAAACCATTTGTTCCTTCCCGATTCAATGGAATCTTCAACACTATCCGAATCGGACCATCCTGAAAAAGTATCCGACCCAGCAGTGGAGTCCGACACAACCCGCGAAGCAACATTACGAAGCCGTCCCAGTCCTTTACTCCTGCTTCTTGGAACAGAGAGCATGCGAAGACGACGACCGTCGAGCATTCCCGCCCGTGTCCCCACGAGAACCACGCGTGATTCTCTGCAATCCATGCAACGCAAGCCCAAGCGGAGCTGAGGAGAGCTCGGAGCCGACGAGGCAGATGTACAAGCCATTAAGAAAGGGGGGAAATTCCAAAATTAATTGAACCGGGAGCGGAGGTGAAGGGTGATTTGTTCTAGGGCTTTGGTTGTTGGTAGTGGTACAGACAGGGAGACAAAAGGGAGCGCGAGAATTTCTTTGTTATATCTTATCTTATTCATATATGGTCGAGTGTCCCTGGCTCTTGCCTTTTTTCCCCCTTTAATTAATATGCAAAAGTAAATTGTTTAAAACGTATAATTGCATTTCACAACTCAACAATTACATAAAATTTATATTTTACTACTACAAAAATATCAATATCCGTAACCACGACACAACAGTCATAATATAATATTTTTCATTTAATACTTTTAAAAGTTTAATATGATATTTATTCTTTTAAAATTCTTAATATGATATATTGTTGAATCAAAAAGAGTAAAAACTCTAATTGATCGAAAAGAATAAAAATTCTCTTTAAAATAATCTCACAAAATTGCAAAATGTAAGAACTCTTAAGAAAGCTTTCAAATGCTTATAATTAAGCTTTGATTGTTGGATGATAAAACTCAAATACAAGTAGGGTATTTATAGGTTACAAGAAACAATCTAAACCACTCATTAAAATAAGCACTAAATAATCTAAACCATTAAAATTAAAACATGAGAAAAATATTTAATTTTCACCTAACTAAATTGATGTAAGCAATGACATCAAAACTAAATTGATGTAAGCAATGACATCAAATTAATTTATGTGTGAACTTATTTAGGCTAATATTGATTTTCAACACTCCCCCTCAATGTTAGCCTCCATTCTTTGAATCACGCCATGTTGACGACGGAAATGTTCAAACTTTCCAACATTCAAGCTTTTTGTAAACAAGTCATCAATTTGCTCATCTGTCTTGATTTGCCTTATCTCAATCTCTTCTTGCAAAACTTTTTCCCTAACAAAGTGGTAATGTACTTCCACATGTTTAGTTCTTGCATGAAAAACAGGATTCTCCGCCAGCCGAATTGTCGATTGGTTGTCACAGTACAAAGGAATTGCATAAACTACTGGTTGATGTAGATTATTCATCAACTGTATCAACCATGTACTCTCTTGAGCTGCCATTGTTGCTCGATACTCAGCTTCAATGGTTGACAATGATACCGTTGGTTGTCTCTTGCTACACCAAAAATTGTTCCAGAGCCAAGCTTAAACACATACCCAGTTGTTGATCTCTTGGTGTCATGATCTCTTGCATAATCAGCATCACAATAACCAACTAACTTGCAATCTTCACCTTTCTTGTACAAAAGACCATAGTCAATTATACTCTTCACATATCTCAATATTCGTCGAACTGCTTCCAAATGAGGCTTCTTTGGATTTTGCATATACCGACTCATCACACCAACTGCATAAGAAATGTCAGGTCGGGTCAAGGTTAAGTAGATCAGACTACCTACCAATTGTCGATACATTGTTGCATCTTCCAAATCTTTTCCTTCATGTGAACATATTTTGACATTTGGTTCCATTGGCGTTGAAGTTGACTTGCATTCGAGCATTCCAAACCTCTTCAACAAATCTTTAACATATTTTTGTTGACACAGAAATATTCCTTCGTGTGTGCGATCAACCTCTAGACCAAGGAAGTGCTTAAGTTGTCCAAGTTCCTTCATCTGGAAACGAACTGATAAATTCTCTTTCGTCTGAAGAATTTCTGCCTCATCATTACCGGTTATGATTAAGTCATCCACGTACACTAGCACGATAGCTAGCTTACCTTTATTGGCTTTGACAAATAAGCTAGAATCTGCAGGTGTTACTGAATAACCACTTTTTGTTAGAATTCAGAAATCTTACCATACCACACCCTAGGTGCTTGTTTCAATCCGTAGAGTGCTTTTCGCAGCTTACACACATATTCAGATGATATTGACTTTGAAAACTCATTGGTTGGGTCATGTAGATCTCTCGATCTAACTCTCTATGTAGAAAAGCATTCTTCACATCCATCTGCCACAAGTTCCAGTCTTTGTTGGCTGCAAGTGCAAGTAGGACTCGTATGGTTGTAAGTTTCGCCACTGGACTAAATGTTTCATCATAGTCTAGTCCATACTGTTGAGAGAAACCACGAACTACCAATCACGCTTTGTACCTCTCGATTGACCCATCTAGACGACGCTTTATCTTGTAAACCCATTTGCAAGATATGGGTTTCACATTTTTTATCTTTGGCACAATATCCCAAGTTTGGTTTTGCTGAAGTGCATCAATATCTTCTTTCATAGCTGTCATCCACTCATAACTTGCGATGCTTTTCGAACGTCTCAGGCTCTGTTACTTATTCAATTATGGTTGCATTGACATATTTGGGATTTGGCCTTCGTATTCTTGTTGACCTTCGGAGTTGAAATTGTGGAATGGATTCTTCTGTTTCACTAGGCCCACCTTCTTCGTTTGGTTATTGATACATGCTCGTTTGCCAAGGATTCTGAGTCACTCTTTGTTCAACATCATCGCCATTTGGATTTTCTGATTCATCTGAACTTGTTTGAGTTGAACAGCATGCTCCCCCATCTTTTATTGTAGCTTGTCTCCAAATTCTCTTGAATTTGGCAACACCTCCTTCTCTGAGGACCACCAAGAATATGCTTCATCAAATACCACATTTCGTGACGTGTAGCATCTTCCACTAATTGGATCACAACATTTCCACCATTTTCTCTGGTTGTCGTATCCCACAAAGATACATCTAACATCTTTCTTGTCAAACTTGCTCCGTAAATGATCAGGAACAAACACATAACATACATAACCAAATACTCGAAAGTAGCTAACTGTAGGTTTTATGTTCCATAGTTTCTCAAAAGGTGAAACAAATCCTAACTTTGGTTGAGGAAGTCTATTGATCACAAAGGTTGCAGTCCTCATTGCTTCAGCCCAAAACCTTCCAGGTACGTTCTTTGCATGTAGCATACTTCGAGAAATTTCTACAAGATGCCGGTTTTTCCTTTCCGCTACACCATTTTATTGTGGCGTATTGGCACAAGTGTACTGATGACGTATTCAACATTCCCTTAGGTATTGAGAGAACTCGTTTGATCTATATTCTTCTCCGTTATCTGTAAGCAAGCAACATATTTTCTTTCCCACTTCTCCTTCAGCTGAGTCTCTGAACTCTTTAAACTTTAAGAATGTGTCAGATTTTTCTTTCATAAAGAAAACCCACACATACCTGGAGAAGTCATCAATGAATGTTACCATGTATCGCATACCGCTAATTGACTGTTGTTTAACTGGTCCGAACACATCAGAGTGAATCAACTCCAACGGTTCTTTTGCTTTAAACTTTGACTCGTCATATGGTAATTGGTGTGCTTTACCATACTGGCATCCCGCACAGACCGTGTCTGTTCTCACGTCTAGTTGAGGAAGCCCCTTAAGCATCAACTTCTTCACCATCACACTTAGCTTGAAATAGCTAACGTGACCTAATTGCATGTGTCATAGATCTGATGTCTCATTTTTTTCTCGTCCTGTCTACATATGCAGACTCTGCTGACATCACGTAAATTGACTCCAAACGTTGTCCCTCCATTTTTGGTGTTTCTGAGATTTTGACGTCATGATAAACCTTCACGTTTTGGGGACCAAATAAGACATAATGGCCTAATAATGTTAGTTGAGCCACAGATAGCAAATTTTTCTTCTTTCCTGGGACATGATAAACATCTTGGAGTTGTACCTAGTTAGTATTATATCGAGGCGTAACTATCGTCTTACCGATGTGAGTTATCGGTAACCTTGAGTTATCAGCTGTTACCACCACATGACCTTCATTCTACTCAGACAAGGTTTGCAACTTCTGTTTGTCACCTGTCATATGATTTGAGCAGCCCGAATCTACGATCCAATCATTCTTGTAGTCAATCTGTTCTGGTGTTGTTACCGTGTGAGCTAATTCTTCTTCTTCCGTAGCAAATAACGCTTCAGCATCCCAACCATCTTCACTATTCTCCTTCTAACTGGAAGTAGTAGTATTACTTTCAACAGGCTTTTTCTTGGTCCAACAGTCTTTTGTCATGTGACCCATCTTCCCACAATTGTAACACTTGCCATCGAACTTTATACTATTACCGCGATTCTTGGAAGCTCCCCCTGAATGGGGGCCTCTATTTCCTTGGTAATTTTCACCTTGTCACCATCCTTTTTAGATCCACTACAGTATACCGCTGAAAAGTGCCTCTGCTTTTACTGGTGTAGAGCGCTTCCTCTTCACCCTTCAGCGAGACTCCTCCCATTTGCTTGGCCATGGCTTCTTGACCTGCAAGCAAATTTTCGAACTCAACAAGCGATAGTTGTGTCGGCCATCCCTGTACAGCAGCAACAAACCCTCGATATTCGGGTCTCAACCCATGGACAATTATTATTTTTATCCTGGCTTCCCCAATAGCAGCTGTCGGATCTAATTCTGAAATTTCGCAGCATATCGACTTCACCTTGTGAAAGTATTGAGCAACCGCCATGTCGCGTTGCGCCATTGATAGAAGTTCATTCTCGAGAAGTTGCAATTTTGTATCGTTCCTCTTCGGAAAGAGTGTAACAAAAGTGTCCCATGCTTCCTTTGGTGTTTTAGCATCCCGGATGTGCTCCAACATTTCTTCTTCAATTGTGGTCTTTAAAGCAAACATTGCTTTGCCTGCTTTAATTTTCCACTTTCGCAAGATGCCATTGGCATCTTCTGCCGTCGGTTGTGTAACTTCTCCATCACCGACAACCTCCCAAAGGTCTTGACCTTGTAAGTATGACTCCATACATGTTACCCACGTGTTGTAGTCTTTGTTGTTGAGCTTCTTTATTCCTCCAACTACTTGAAGATCACTCATCTTAACGGTAAGACTTTGACTATACCGAACAAGTTTGAGTAACAAACGTGCAGAGTACTAAATTACTCTAGACACAAAGAAGCTTCACAAGGTTTGTAATAACCCCGACAATAATCTCAAAAAATCTTTTCTGATGTGGAAGATCAGTTAAAAATTGCAGCCACAGAGCATACTTGAAATTTCAAGAGACCTTAAAAACATGGCTCTGATACCAATTGTTGAATCAAAAAGAGTAAAAACTCTAATTGATAGGGAAGAATAAAAAT